AAATTCAGCACAGCGTTAATGCTTCCCTTATTTAATTTTATGTACCAAGTTCAGCATCTCCAAATGCTTCAATTCTGTGAAGATGCAAAGTTTTTAGCAGTATTTTAACAGAATTCTAAATTAATGCTTAATAAGTATCACATATTTTAATTCAACCACATTCACTAGAAAATGTGGCCTCCAGGTCCTGTCCACTGAGAAACTGAATGTGGCAGCAGAAGAAAATTAATTTTTCATATTCTAAGAGATACTCTTCAATTATGAAATAGTTTAGCTTGCTCACTCATATTAATGCCCGTTACTCAACTAGGCCCAGTTAATTACCATGTAGCCAATTCTCTAGGAGTTCTATGAAATCTCCCTCTCCCTGGCTAATGCATAGAGAGGGAGGCTAAAAGCTAGAAAAGATACATTTAGTTTCCCTTTTCAAGAGACTGACTGTCTTAAAATATTTAAGTGATAATCAACGAGAAATTATCCACCTCCTGCATTTTACAGCATTAGGAATGTTCAATGAGGGTAATGATTTATGTGACCCAATTTTAGCAAAGGTAAAAAATGGTCTAATAGCTATGTTCTAGGTTTACCGAAGTGTCTGTCTTAAATGATTTTTATAGTTTTATTCATATGGAGATTATTACCTGAAAATGCAACTTTGCATTTCTGTAATTTGACCAATTCTTGCCCTGCTGACAGGTACTTTTACTTTCTATTATACTAGATTTTATACGAAATAGCTTTAAAATGCTTTCTTAAGAGGTGTTAGGGGGGAGGGGAGCAGGGACAATGACTTTTGTATTTTTGCTAATTTTTTTTTTCCCTGAATAAGAAATTCTACAGGACTCAGTGGTTGAATTGAAATTGTATTTTAATATAAAATACAAGAATCTATTCAGGAGAGGGTAAGATTGCTATATCTATATGGTATCACCAAATCCAGTGAAATACTGCAAGGTTTATTCACAGTCACACATCTCTAATTTAAATGAGATTGTCAGATATTCTTCCAATTTATCCATAGTAACAAAAGTAGTTTGGCTAATATATAAAATATATAGAATCTAAAAAGCATTTTAGAATAATCCTAGGCACAGTGTAANGTGTGGGAATTTTAGATGCCCTTAATCTATAATTGTGTGTGTGTAACGTTTCCTTTGAAAATAAGATACTTTTAATTTTTATTGTAAATTTGATAACGGTACACAGTTTTTCTGGATTGCTCTATCAGATGGTCCCCTTTCACCTTCCAATTTAATATGAATTTTCATCCATTTATTTTTTTGAAAAGGTTTGTTGAAAGACTTGGTATCCCCAAGAGATTTTGATGCCGTCACTCATCTGGCCCTCATCAATGCTGTCTATTTCAAGGGAAACTGGAAGTCACAATTTAGACCTGAAAATACTAGAACCTTTTCCTTCACTAAAGATGATGAAAGTGAAGTCCAAATTCCAATGATGTATCAACAAGGAGAATTTTATTATGGTAAGACATTTTGGCTTTTATTTTTCTCTTCTTGTGGTGTATCGATAAATTTCTAAGAAAGAACATGAAATATTCATTACTTAAATTTCTTGTCAATCTAGTTTGGGCTACAATTCAATTTCCTTGGCTCCATTTTCAAAGGTCTCTAATTAGATTCCGAGTGAGTATTATATGCATTGACAGCTTTCCAATATGTTTCTTTAATTTATAAATTTGATCACACCAGCAGAATGACTTTATTCACATCGAAATACATGACCTTGTGTAAGAACGTTGAATTACTACAAAAAGTCATTGGCTTTGGGGTGTTTTTCAGTGAACCATGTGTTGCACCCAGCTCTTGACTTGGACTCTTCACAACTTTTTAAATTACAAGCATTCCTTTAAAATTTTGCTTTCATACTTGTATATGTATGGTCAGACATAATTATTTATTCATGGTTTCACTCACTGAGGGTCTATAATTTGTGATACAACTCAATATTCTTGGCATTATTTTCAAAGATGATTCATTGGATTTTTCAGAAGCTTCAGGTGTTAATCCTTCCTGCACACCATATTGAACTGTAATAGTTTGTTGTCTTATGCAGAAATATAATGATATGCTACATATAAACTATATGTTAGAACTAGTTTATTCTATTTTTTTTAAAAATTGTAAAATTAAAAGGTTATAATCATAGTTAATCAAATTAACAGTTAAAAGAAAATACCCATTATTTGAGAACCAAAATGTTTAACATGACTCTAAAGGCCCTAGATCAATTACATGAAAATATTCATGCCAAAAGCATTACATTTTTTGAATGGGGGAAATTATAAAGTAGTGGCAGGATCATTTGTTTTAAAGACTTCTTTATTTTTATTTTATGAAAGCCTAGTCAATTTAGCTAAGTTCATAGAACACAAAGCCAATGATCTAATTTACCTAATTACCTAATTTGAAGGTCATAATCACCATAAATACACTAGATAGCTATTGTAGAAAGCAATAGATTTCATTTTGGCTGTGCTGCCTTTGCCTCAAAGCTTTTAGCTGTGTTATTAATAAAATACCAGGTATTATGTGGTCAACTTTTCGCTTCTCAGAAATCAGGTGGATATTGCTAAATGTGACTTATATCCAACTTGGATCCAGGGCTTTATTTTTCTAACCAGAACTTTTCATTGTTTCTAATAATACCCTTTAAATCTATATTCATTTGAAGTATTATTTTAAAATAAAAAGTAAGTCTAGAGAACATGTTGTGACAAATGTGAAATAATTCTGGAGATTCTAAAATAAAATAAATTCTGCAGCACTGAGGACTCACTTAAATTTCAAGGTCTATTTTTAAATAAATCTTCCTTTTCTCAGATGCCTAAATTTTTTTATTTTCTATTCACTATTTTGAAAAAAAAAATTATAACAAATTTAAACCTTTTATTTAAACTTTGCTATGAGCTTTTTGTTGCCTCTCTCTTTTTTTTTTTTAGGGGAATTTAGTGATGGCTCCAATGAAGCTGGGGGTATCTACCAAGTCCTAGAAATACCATATGAGGGAGATGGGATAAGTATGATGCTGGTCTTGTCCAGGCAGGAAGTTCCACTGGCCACTCTGGAGCCATTGGTCAAAGCACAGCTGATTGAAGAATGGGCAAACTCTGTGAAGAAGCAAAAAGTGGAAGTGTACCTGCCCAGGTGAGAGAATACTGGGTGACCCCCTCAGACACCATGGAGGGAGGGTATCAATGAAGGTCCTGACCCAAAAAATCTTTTGCCACTACTTTTGAATTTTAAGTCTTGTGCTACTTTCCTCTTCCTCCTGCTCCTCTTCATCTTTCCTCTCCTCCTCTTTTTCTTCTCCTTTTTAAAAAGTAGTCTTTCCTACTCACACAGTCCTGTCCAGAGACACAGGCTCACTTATTGCTTCATTCAGTACTATTTGACAAGACCTAGTTTCAGATATGAGTCCGTATCCTTAGCTTCATTTTAGAAGATTTTCTAATAGATTGTCTTATAATATCATTTCCATTGAAAGCCTTCTGTATTTCATTAATATTTAAAGCTGATTATATCTGGAAATATAATCTCTGACATTGTTGGGAAAAGTGCAAGCAAGTCACTATGCTGGTTGTCGAGATGCAGCCATAAATAAGCAAGAAGAAGCTTAACATTCTCCCTGTGGACGAAAGAACAAAATCCCTGCAGGGCCTGATGTTCTGA